ATAATCACTCGCCTGAAAATTATGGTGAGTTTTTTATTGCTTGCCTGCCATTTTCAAATGACAAGGCCTGTCAGCTATCTGTTCACACATAAAATTTGTGATCCAGTCACTATTTAACAAGAAAGCAAGCATTTTGGAACTGGAATTTAGCATTTGTTCGCTCAGGCTGTGGTACATCTTAATATTGCTATACGGAAATGACCTACACTTGATAAAAATGGCTCATCTATCAGTATCATTCAACAAGCGTTAAAAGAAATTTACTTTTTTTGGCGATCAAAGCTCAAACTGCCGCTCTTGCATGCAAGCTATTTAAGTTCAAAGGTCTCATCATTATGAAGCATATTAGAATACATAATTATATTTTGCCCTGCAAAATCTCCACCATTCTATAATTGGTTATTAATAGTAATAAAGCAATTAAATTGTAATTACTCTACTAGAAAGTAGCTACGTTAGGCCTCTCAAACTTCAATGGCGCCTCATACTTTAAGTGCCGCGCCATAAAACCGATAACCTCATAGAAAAAAATCTGTTGAGTTCGACACATTAGATTTAACATCCATCATTGCATTACTCTCACATTAGTAGTTGATGATACTCTATGCTCTAATAAGCATCCAAATATATAGTATTAGTAAAAGGTGGAATACAGGAATATTATCAAGCTTTGGCATTCCCCATTAAGATTACGGTGTATTAGTAATACCAATACAATGAGATGAAGAAATATTCTTAATTATACAACTCTACCCGAATGGCTATCGATGTAGATATGCACGTGCTTAAGGGAATAATCATATTGAGATTCTTCTAGATGCAAGATCACCACAACGATGGTGTTCATTTTATAAATTTGATAATGACTCTCAAAGGAAGAATGGAAATAGAACATTTGACATTTCATCCAGGTCCCTTAACAAAAGTTAAAAAACAAGAACAGCAACTGCGCTCAATACAGTCTCCTCTGAATGGACTTAATCAAAATCACTTTATAAAGTTTCCGATCTAGATCCCAGGGTCCTAGTTAAAAAAGAAATACAGAATGAAGCTTTAACGAACATCATTTTCTTCATTTCAACAATTTCTACATAATTAAGAAATCAAATTTCACCAAAAGAAAAACTGGTAGTGTATACGTACATTACAATATTTTTCACTAGATTTTCTGGTACCTATGGCCTCTGAAGCAAATGGGACTAAATTTGCGACATTGCTTTCAAAGGAACATCGCTTTCAAACTCTTGTCCTTCAACTTGCAGATGAATCACAAGCAAGGTTTTTTTTTTTTAAATAAATTGTTCAAATGCATTTACTCTGTTTTGTTTAAAAATGTTATTGAACAAAATATTGAAGGAAGTTGAAAAAGTTCGGATGACAGCTTCACAGGTATAATACAGTTCACGAACATAAAAAGAAAGAATGAAGATGTTGTGGCTTGCATTCTCAGTAGCTTCCTTTTTGTGTAATTCATAGGAATCTATTTGTTAAAAGTACCATTAGCATAATAATCCTGTTTGAAAATCCCACAGATCAACAAGTACAAGTGGATCGAAGCACTAGACACCCAATATGTCTCTGCCTTCGGCAGTCTCCAGACCAGGGGTGGATTTAGGGAGCCGGGCCCCTATTTAGAAAAGAAAAAACAAAAAGATAAAAAAGGAAAAAAATTGATCACCCAAAGTGCCTCAGAGGTTATTTTCAGGTGTCTAGAACATCAAATTTTTGTGGGGGCATAACCCCCGATCCCTAGGGTAGTGCTATCTCGATCAGCCACACTTTTGGCCTACCTTTCGTACATCTCTGGATCTACCCCTGCAGGCCCTGTCCAATTAATTAGGACTCGCTATTGTAAAAGTTTTGGCCTCCTCCTGTAAGAATCTGCGGCAGCGTCAGGATTTGCTCAACTAGGGTCTGACATGAGCAGGATCTAGATGAGACCCAGTCCCCTGGTATCTGGACAAACTTGTAAAATTTGTGCCCTTTTAAGCTATTTTTATTTAGCATGTGAAAAGTTTGTTAAAAATGTTCATTTCTCCTTTCAGATGAGTTGTGGCTGACGTGGGTTAGACTGTTCAATAAAAGCCTCCACCCTCCATTTTATCCTTGTCCCACGCTGACTGACAGTGTCAATAGAGAAAATAGAAACTTTGGTAGTTTAATGTCATTTTAAGAACCTACTTAGTATACAGTATTGGGGAGGGATACCAAATCATAATAGCGTAAAGAAACTTATCTAAATAAACTGAAACAACAAAAAAAACTTATCTATATCAAATTACTAATCTAATGTGTATGTTCAATGAGATTCCAACTAACTTTAAAAATTAATACATAGCTGTTGCACCAATATACTTAGCCTGGGTTCCAGGCCCTAATTTTAGGTTACTCACTCTTTATTGCACTTAGTGCGCGCCATACCTAATTTAATTGGCGTCCCATACTCGATTTCTTTTTTTTTCGAATTAGGGCCTGGGCAAACGATTCATGCGCACGATTTCCCACATCAAATTTGATGTGGGATATCGTATGCATGACTGATTTTGTAAATCACGTGA